TGATGAGAAACAGACCTCATCCTTTATCATATTCCCCTTTCTTGTGCTAAATACGGAACCATTATAATTACTTTTTGCCTGCTATGATAAGCTTGGTTTATGACCTCTGGATACTGAGCTCAGCCCGTCTTGACAATAGTTTTTTTTTAGTTTTTTTTTTTTTACCTTTATTTGTCCTACTTTGCACAGGTTGTATCATTCACAGTCAAAATCAGTACAAACCAACGCAGACTGGTCTGTTGAACAAAGCTAAAATTATCACTGTTTCCTAAATACATTAACCACAAGGATGCTCCTGTAGTTTTGTGTGATTCAGTGACTGCTCAGTATTAATGGTTAGCTCAGCATTGTCTCTTGCAATCACACCTTTTTGAGAATTTGGTGAAAGAAGAGACAGAGCCGAGACAGGATGTTGTGATGTGTCGTATCGTGTACAGCAATGGTACAAAAGTTTGTTTAAAAAATTCTAAGTTTCAGTTATCAGCCAGTCGTTTGTCCAAATTTATCATTGGGGTAAACCCAATAGTGATGAGTTTGTGTACGACTGTAGAATCAAGGGATTTTGTGTCAGCCAGCTGAATCTACCTGTGACAATGTCATTATCTCCTGTTAGCGTCACTGAAGATTCTTGTTGTTATCACTCTCTAGCACACAGCCTCAGGCTCTGAGCTCCTTCATGGAGCTGCTGTACAGATATGGTGTAACTACTATTACTTTACTAAGTGCGAACACCCAGATGTGAGTAAAGTGGAAGACAAAAGAATCCAAATGACACAGTCCAAGCACTGCATGGAAACTGATGCACTTCCAACATTTCTCGCTGCAAAAAACAGACCAGCAACATTCCAGAACAGACACCACCCCAGGTCAGCATTCACACTCACAACATCTCATTCACCGTGTGAAATAAAATCTTACCAGAAAGCAGCACAGAAGTGCAGAAATTACCTAATAATGCACATTAGGGTGTCTATGGTCAGACAATGATTTGCTTTAAACTAATTCAGTGTCTCATCTTTTGTGTAATCCTTGCTCATAAAAAAACTGTCTAATCAATGTATCTGTAAATAAATTACATCACACAAAAAAACAGGAATCTAAAGCTTTACAATTCTTCATCTAAAGGCAAACCAAAAATTAATTGTTTTAGACTGTACAGCACATTCTTACTTTTCATTACAGTTTTTTACAGGTGTTAAGACTAGTTTCTACTGACTTAAACAGTCATACAAATGCCCCAATGAAAATACAATTGCTTTTCTTATGTTGTATGATGTAGACGTAAAAAATAAATTTAGGGGAACACTATCACAACAATATCTTCCACATATTTGAAATGCTTGAGCTCTATTTCCAATTGTGGGCCATAACTTGACAAAAATGTGGGCACACAGGTCATGGAAAACCAGGAATGTTGTTATTGGAAAAAGGTCTCCTTAGGTCTAGCAAACAAAAGACAGATTCAATCCATGTCCAAACCTATTCATGCATTCATCCTGTGCTCATGAGTGTTTACTAAGCTTAGACTGAGGCAGTGATGTCATTCTAATTACCGAGTCCTCTTCTGAACTGTCCTCCCTCATCCTGATTGTGAGAGGCTTTGCTCAGTTGTTATAGATCCACATTTTGCTTCTTAAGTCATTTTCCCATTGACATGTGAACACAGTCGTAGTCAATGTCCGATGCCTCTTTCAGCTGTTCTCTTGAGAGACTGAGTTCTCCTGAGAAATGTAAACAATGAACGTTAACATTAACTGCAGTCAATATGTACTCACACTTGTAAACGTTTGTCTTCAATTATCTTATCACCAGCATTTGTGTTGCAATCTAACACAGTAAACTGACAGTGTAGTCAAGGTGCTTACTTGCAGATTTGTGATTAGGCCCTAATGCTGGCAGACTAACCACAAAAACAGAGATCTATTGGAGGACAAATAATGTTTAAAATAGCTATTCATTTTATTTATTTTTTCCTATTAAGTCTTCAGTAAAGCTAAAGATGATATAGCAATACCTGGGTAAGCTGTCTTTGGTAAATTTAATTTTACCTTCAGTTTATCATCATGATTACATCCACACTATTGTGTGTGTTTTTTAACAAATATACTCAACATGTTCCTAATTTAACCATTATTCATACTTGGTGTTTAGAAATAATGATTTTTTTTTTTTTTGCCCCACTAAGGCTTTAAATTGACACACAAGAGAAAGTGCCAGCAGGTTGAGTTAGCTTCAGTAGCATTAGCATTTGATACAGTGCTTTACATCCACACTAATGTGTGGTGTTTTTTTAAACAAATATACTCAACTTGCCCATAGTTTAAATATTATTTCTACTTGATTTCGAAACATTAACTTCATTAGCATTAGCTTTTGCTTCACTACATGTTACTAGTATGATACTATAATGACAGAGCTAAAGTTAATGGTTACCCTTAGGGTAAGAAATAGTGTGTCTGATAGTTTTCAAACCACAACATTTGCGGACAACTTTAACCAATTTATTATTATATTATTTATAATTATTATATAAATATCAGAACTAGCATTGGTTAGCAGGTAGCATCTGTTGGTGTTCCTATAAATCTGAACAGACACAGAGAGTTGAAATTTGAATCTGACACATTACAAAAATGGAACAAGATTTTCAAGCTCTTAAATGCTTCACACATGCCTAACATTTTAAATCATAAAATATGCGCATTTTAAACACTGTCTTTTCTTTTTTTTTTCAAATT